TTGTGGAAAAACGGGGTATTATTACACGTGCCAGGGAAAAAATAGAGAATAGGAAAACCATCAAAGGAAAACCCGGGTATGCTATGAAGTGGATTCTTATAGGAGAGATCAAATAGTGGATCCTTTAAAGGATTCCAACGTATCGGGGTACCAAAGACAAACTGAAAATATTTATCGATGTTGAAACACGTAATAGGGTTAAGCTAAAGTATCTGGATGACTGAAATTTGCTAGTAGATTTTCATTCTAATTATTTTACAAAAATGAAACCAAGCTTGATTGATTTTTTAAATCCAGACTCTCCTATTTCAATCAAAACATCAAAATGGCGTGAGACGTTTTCAAAATCATGTGATTTTATTTTTATTTACGTACCTTCGTAATAAATTGTATTATTTTATTAGAAAAAATATTCAAAATTAGAACACAGATCTTACCTAATAAAAATGAGCTAATTGTGGTGCTGGATGCTTTTTAGTCACCTTAAAGTTTTCTTGGCTGACGAAAAAGTCTAAGTATGGATTAGATATATATCCATATTGCCGTCTCTCTTAAATTATAAAGATATTCTGTCTTATTATAAATTCTACACAGCCTATATTTTTTCCTTTGACCATTATAAACCGAATATACCTTTTGCCATCACGACAACAAACCGCTTTGTGACCATTTTAGCTTCAATACGGCATCAACGTGCGATTGTTTCACGCAAACCTCTGAAACTTTGATGACCGACCGCCGTACGTGGTCTGCTCTATGAAAAATTCACACAAACACCACTTGCACTGGCTCGATCTAAAAATAAACTCGTATTGAAAATGAACAAAACAAAACGCAAGTTCGTCATTTTTGACGTCTTTAATAATCCAACTACGACAAATTTTACAAGAAATTCAAACTAATATTATAAATGCGAAAGTAACTCTGTCTGTCTGTCTTTTCTTCACGCCTAAACTACTGATTACCTATTTGTGTGAAAGACGAACGGCAGGATTTGTACAGTATACTTTTTTCGTTGAATTGTTATAGAATTTATACCACTTATTAAGCCAAGTAAGCCCTTTATTTTCGTGTAAGTATAATATTTTTAGGTAGTCTGAATAATTAGTAATATCAATAAAAATATTTTAATTACTAAACGTAATATAATCCTAAACTAAACGCAGTTGTCATTTCAGAAGTTGCCATACGTAATATTACACAAATATCAGAATGAAATTATTTAGAAATAACAAAAAGTATATAAAAACACATTATATCTGTACATAAAAATGCATTATTTATGCATAAAATAATAATAGTTTTATTCATTGTTTGATATTTATATAGTCAAATTCGATTTTTTATATGTATGATTTTCGTCTTCAATATTTTTTTCTTGTTATGGCAATTATATTTTATTGACAGACAAAGAAAATCCCTCTGTCAGTTCAGTTCAGTTCTTTGCTGTTGTTTTGGATTGTGGTTTGTGACTGCATCTAAGCAATTTAGCGAATTACCTGGCTGTTTTACGTTGAGTTGAGCATTGCTCGGTATATGGGATGTATATGGAAATATAGGTAGTATAATAAATAATATATATATATATGGCACGTAAAAGTCGGTTCTAGATGTAGTCATCTAACAGCACTGGATCATGCTAAGTTACTTGAAAGCTTTGACACTAAACATAACATACGATACACAAAACATACGCTAAAATGAAGTTGGTAAGTAAAACACTACAAAAATAGCGACAAGGAATTTAGAGCATTTACTTTATTACCAAAACAATGTTTAAATCCACCTATTATGTAACAAACTACATCGGTTCACTTGTACATAACCTCAAAAAATTAAACTGCTTGTAACTTTTTTGTCCTGCTATCTAGAAATCTAAGATATTAGGGAGGGTTAGTCTATAATATTAACTACCAAATTAGAACAAATAGTATACCAAACACGAAATTTTTATGCTGTACAAAACTCCCATATAAGCCTGCCATTCACCTTTGGTATAGACATAGTTTGGAACTCGAGAAAGGACTTAGGATAGGTTTTAAACCAAAAGTCTGCAGGAAGTCACTATTCCACGCGAACAAAGTCGCGGACAAAAGCTAGTATTATTGAGTTTTTTCAGTTATTTGAGAGTTAAGCTCTCTTTCTAAAATTCATAATTAAAAAATTCTAAATTGCATAATTATTATGTTGAACAACATACTCTCGTTACTATTTGACAGGATAGCTCGATTAGTTTCCAACCCCGCTTGGGGCTCATATTCATAAAGAGCATTGCTTTGCAAAACAGCGTAATAATTATTTGAAAAGTTACCCTCTTTTTTCTACATTTCAGCGATATTTTTATTTATCTAGACTTGTTTTCATATAGTTCATGTTATGATAAAACTTATATAAGCAAAGATAGACTAATAGTTTTCCGTTACTCCATCGTTCCGAGATAGTAGACATGATTTGATATTGAAGCATGTTTCGGTGCGCAATAACCGAGGTTACATTCGAAATTATATTTTATGATATTCGTATCACGGTTTATTTCCATTTGCTATCCATGTAACTATTTTTATTAGATAGCTTTCGAGATAAAAATATGAAGGTCGTACACGAAATATAAACTGAGATTAGGTTCTCAAAAATATTTAAGCTCACATTTTTGTTGGGCAAATATTACTTGTAAATTCTAAGGAGCCCGACAAGAGGCGAGAATCTAATAAAATGATCAAAAATAAACCTCCTGCCAATATTATTGATACTCTTTTTGAAGGTGGAAAATGATATCGAATGGCTTCTCCTGGCTTCTCCCGCCCTGCTTTCGGTGAGAGGGAGTGTGAAACTCTTACTGACTAAAAACCACCCAGTACCTTCTCCTGTTCCAAGCCAGACCGCGATACATTATTGTGTTTGCACGCGCAAACCCGCAACCCCGGCAAAAGTAAAAAGTCAAAAACCATTTATTCCAATTAGACCCTTACAGACCCTTTTGAACGTCAAACAAAATTTTGAAGATATAGTGTCAGTTTGTCAGTCAGTCCTTGCTCGTTTCAAAGTGTAGATTCCGATGGAGAAGAACGAGCAAGAAACTCCATTGTTACTCTTTTTAAATCAGTTTCACATGCACATTCCTTATACAAACAGCTGGTTCAAATACAGAGATTAGCAGTGCAACACTAATATTTATTTTGGGGCCGTCAGTGGGTCTCTTCTAGGGCGGCAACTTCATTTCTTAACCAATATAAGCTATATATTTATTTTGACCTTGTTACACATAGCTAAATGCTAAAAACCTCTCTTCAAATTGAGATACGCAAATATAAAATAACAAATCATACAGTTCGGTGTAATAAAGCAAATATTCAATTTCAATTTGATCATTTCTTATTTTCTACGACAAAAGAAAATACATCTGAATGTCGTTATAAGGTTGCAATTTGCATACATTTCCATGTAAGAATACAACGTCACAATTTGCTTGTTCTGCAATTTTTAACGGATCATTAAATATGGTTTCTTCTTTTTATAGTTTAATGTGAAAATATTATCTATAACGTACTGACGTATAGATTATATAGATAATATTTTCACATTCCCTGCGATTATTTAACCTTGCAACCTTATTTTTTTCCATCTGTACATTAGCCTGAAGGCGCCCCCTTCTCATGCGTGAGGTTGCTTGTCCAAAACCTGGCTAGTACCAATGTGATTTTCCGGGTTAAATATAATCTCTAAGTTTATTTTGACACCACTGGTTATCGGTAAAGGGGAATTTTATGAGGAAACCTGGACCTATATGTAATTGTTAGACCATGAACCATGAAGTTTCTTGCTTGTTTTTCTCCATTGGAATAGTTTCACTAAGAGGAAGAGGACTGACCGACAGACTGACACTTTATCTATAAATTTTGTTTGACGTTCAAAAGTGCCTGTAAAGGTCTAGTTGAAATATATGACTTTTTGCCTTTGATTGTTGTAAGTTTGAAATTGCCGATCTGCCTTGAGCAAACGTAGTGATTAAGTAATGCTCAAACCTTTTCAAGCGAGAAAAAGCCTCTAATCAGCAGTGGATCTAATAAAGAATTCTCTTCTTCAACGGTATAAAACATTTAAAAAGCGAAATGTTTTACTAGCTTCCGCCCGCGGCTTTGCCCGCGTCGTTTTTTGATATAGAGCACTATGTGTTAATCCAGATTATCCTATCTACGTGCCAAATTTCAACCAAATTCGTCTAGTAAAGAACAACAAAGAGACATCCACACATTCTCACAAACTTTCACATTTATCTATAACATTAGTAGAATTTTGGACAATAAAAGAACCAATATCTGACATCGACTCCAGTTCTTGCCAAGAATATAATAGTCCTTTAAGTGCATAATGAAAGACTAAATTAAGTAATATTATGAAACAATATGACGGTCAACGAAATCTGATGGTCAAGAGTAAGTAACCTCAACCCAGTTGAGGAAAGGCTACAGAACTACCTAGCCTTCTAACATCAGCAAACCACCCTTTCATTGAAAATTAACATTAAATAGTTCTTTATTACGATCTAAAATTAGTTGGCAATAAAATCGTTGTCGAAGGTTTTTCTCATTAAAATTATCTCAAGCACTATTACCAGAATTGAGTCACTGTCACTGATAATATGATTGCTAATTAGTTTCAATTGACATTATTAGGAATTTCATTACTGTTGGTTGAAGAGCTCTGATTACTGGCTGAAATGCTAGAATGAGGTACTTGAAACTTCAAATACCGACTATAGAAACTCATAGAAAAATTACTAGAAACGAGGGCACTCCTTCTTAAAACGGCCGCGCCTGTGGCGCCTCTGGTGCTGCAGGTGACCATGGGCGGCCCCAATCGCTTACCATCAGGTGATCCGTCTGCTCGCTTGTCTCCTATTCTATTCCATAAAAGAAAAAAAACATCTGTACCAACGAGTAACTAGCTGACACGGCAAACTGTGGGAACTCAAAGTGTGGGAGAGCCATGCTTCGGCACGAATGGGTCGGCTCGACCGGAGTGATACCACGGCCTCACAGAAAACCAGCGTGAAACAACCACAGGGTTGTGTTTCGCCGTGTGAGTGAGGTTACCGGAGGCCCAATCCTTCCCCTCCCCCAATCCCTAAATCTTCAAATCCCAAATCCCTAAAAGGTCGGCAACGCACTCGTAACTCCTCCGTTGCGGGTGTCCATGGGCGGCGCTGATTACTTACCATCAGGTAATCCGTCTGCTCGTTTGCCGACCTATTACATAAAAAAACTACGACCCGCCTCAAATACAAAGCTCAAATTCATCCAAAAACTGAAGAACTTTATGATCAAAAACATATCGACTTAAGAACGTTTATTTTGCACTATTTATTTTAGAATTTAATTTAACCTAATGGCGTCACAAAAACTTTTCAATCTTTTATAAAAATATAAGTAATATCGTTTACAATATTTTACACAAACAGTTTCACAAATAAATCTGTCACACGATGCGCGTTTCAAAAATGAAATTCATCAAACTATATTGTACATTGACAAAAAACTTTGCTTGTTAATAGTTTTCTAGCAAAAAATAACTATTTCATATAAACTATGAAAGTCTGAAGCGAGACGAGAATTTCACGAAATTTTCCAGACCTTTAAAATTATATTAGCTTATTTTTTTAACTGCTTATACATATAAAGGGTATCCATACATACCTTTTTCAGGGTTCCGGAGTCGACTAGGAATCCTTATAGTTTCGCCATATCTGTCTGTCTATCCGTCCACGGATAATCTAAGTGAAACACAAGTAAGGCGAAAGCCACCCATATGCATCTGTTGTATATAACTATATCAATCACATCGACAAAATTATAAAATAAAAAAGGAATAAATAAAATATTGGTTTATGCAAGCATTTTATAACTTTGTTTGTATATTTTACAATTCCGAACGTATCTTCTTTCAAATGAAAAAATATTCAAATCAGATTACGCAATCCAAAATACAACCAAAAACTTCACAAACCTAGTCTAGTTTTTATAAATTAGTTACCAAATTCCATAAAAAATGGCGCTGTACTTTGGCTACTCCTCGCTGAATTGCGATTTTGAGATTTTTCATGAGCTTATAGTGTCGGGACGGACATAAGCTCTAATTTAGTCGAATTATGCGGATGGGCTGTCGTTGATATTAGTCAGTACCTAGCAAATTATATGTTCTTGTCATTAACTATTTTGATATCATCGAAGTCACTTGTATTTTATTAGGTTTATTTTATATTTGCTTTTAACTTTTTATTCTATGGCTAATACTTTAGCCTTACGAAGTACTTAAAAGCGTACATATACGCTGAGCATTTTCCTACCTTTTTAAATTTAAAATCAGGGAAACACGTAAAGACGTTTTAGATACCCTTGATCACAGAAAAATCATGATGATGATGAGATGTATTCACATCAATGGAGATGTTCATAGCAGTTTTACAATGAGTAACCTACATATAGTATCTAACTATAGTTCAACACATATGTACCTAGACAATCGTTCAGATTTTAAAATAAATAGCTTTGGTAGTTCTGTAATAGATAAAGGGCATTGACTATCTATCGCGGTACACACTGGGCGAGATCGGAAGACGTGTACTTAGAAATCTAGAAGTACAGGGCCGACACATATTATTATTATTTTATGTACTTACAAGATTTTTGTAACAATAATTTTATAGCAATGCCTGATCCAGATTAAAACCGAGATGCAGTCCAGCCTGGGTTGCGGGTGCTAGCGAAATAGCGAAAACCCCCGTTGGTAGGAGAAGGATCGGCAAACTGTGGTGGTCGTTCTGTAAAATCAAAAAGGCTCTTTTCACCAGTCACAAGTCTGTGGAACAAGAAATAAACCTATTTCCTTACACTTGCTCAATTTTAAACGTCGTGCTATTACTGATAAAATTTGAAAATGGTATTGTGTCCGATCCGAGAACGGAGGACTCAGGAACCCTTATTATCTTACTTATAATTATAATAACTTCATTACAGTTTCTATGAATGAAGCCGACAATCTGCAGGTTTGACGTCATCAGACACATTCCTATTTTATGGCGAGTATTTTGATTTAGTAATATATTATGATAATGATGTGTAAGTACTAATTTTTATCTATGTGTAGGTATTTGTGTCAAGTTCAACACTCTAGGCTGATTCTGTATTGAATTGTCATTACCTCGGCATTAGAGATTTATATGAGCATCCCACAGCCTTACTTTGATATGCTAATAAAAAATTATCGACAATTTCCTCTTTATTTTTAAAACCTTGATACGTTATAATGTTTTCGCGTGATTTTTCGTATGTATGAGAATCGATAGTAGAATAAAAACAAATGAAAACTATGAAATTAAGCGTGGTAAAGCAATGATGAAATTTCGGCTTACGATAAACTGGTTTGAAACCACGCTTACGTTACATTTCGCCGTGTGAGTGTGATTAGGCCCAATCCTTCCTATCGCCAATACCCAAATTCTGAACAACCCCTTAATGTTAGCATGGTAAAGAGCTCTTTTAGTGTTACGGGTGAATTGTTTTCCTGTAACACAAAAAAAAATCAAATTACTGGTCAACTAACCACTGCATAAGCCTTGCATCCCTACAGGGCTGGTGTTCAGCCGGGATTGCGGTGTATGCGCAATGTGGCACCGCGGCCTCGGCCTCGGTCGTATCTAAACAGGAGAAGGAACAGGTTTTATTCAGTAAGAGACTTTGTCTTGCCTTACCCTGGGCGGGGGAAGACATCGCTGACAAAAACAAATAAAGCCTTTCATTCAAAATCATCTTGGAAGAAGTTTTGCCAAACATACAACAGAAACTTTTCAAGAATATCCGCGAAATAACTTTCAATATTTTTTCTGTATGTGGGAAAGCAAGATGTACTTAGTCATTATAATAGTTTAATAATTACAGCAAACATAGTTTGTAACAGGACGATATCTGATAAGAAATATTGAACGAGAAACTTTTGCTGACGACTCCCAAGTACCTTGGTTTAAGAGGTAGGAGGAAGATAATAGCAAGAAAGCGATTTGATTTTGTACTATTCGCTACCAAACACAAAATGTCCAACAGACACAAATCTGAGTAATTACCTCACCTTTTGCCTAATGCTTTAGTCAGTAAGAGTCTGACACTCCCTCCCACCCGACCCTCGACAAGAAAAGAAATTGGTGATTTTCCGTTTAAAAAAACCTATTGTCTTATTAACATCGAATATATTTTCTCACTAAAACACGTGCTAATGAGCCTTAAAGGACAAAAATAATAACCCAAGTGCCCCAAGTACATGAACAAATAAATTCGAGTGTCGGAAAAACAAAGTTCCTTACACCCTGCGATTGTTTTACAAGTGTTTTCTCATTGACAATAAATAATTGCTACGCTTATCTACTACCTATGTTACATTTATATAAAGACGATAATTAGGTACGATGCGCACATAGGCTCCGGTACTAACTTTAATTGGACGTCTGGGAAAATGTTCGCGGTAATTTTTTTCTGTCTCTTTCTGGGAGCTTATGGTAAGTTGTTTTTTTTTATTTATTGTTTTTTTTCGAACGAATATTTAATTGCAACAATAATTATTGGTTGTGATAAGTATAGGAGTACTTTTTAACATAAATTATCTGCATTTTCATCGTTAAATATTCGTGAATGGATTAATACCTTTTTTATAAAAAAAACCTCATTTTCTTTATGAAATTCGAATGAGTAACATGATTAAATCGCGATTAATTCCTTTTTCGAAATTAAATCCTCATCTACCTTGAGCAAGCGTGGTGATTTATGCTCGGACCTTCTTCTTGTCAGGAGAGGCATTCAGCAAAAGGCAGTTGTAGGCTGATGATGATGATAATTGCTCTTCACCAATAAAACAAATGACTATATTTAGTATTGTTGTAAAAGTTGCCTAAAGCTAGACAAAGTATTTTTTTATATTCGGTTTGTCGAAAATTTCACAATCATAAAACGAAGTCCCTAACTGTGTAAGTCAATAGACCCCTTATTACAAGGACTATGAGTCCACTGGTACAAATGGCTGGTGAAAAGCCAAATTACTTAAAACCTGCCCTGGATGGGGAAGCGTCAGACTCTTACTGACCAAGAACAACTCCGTACCTTCTCCTGCTCTGCGCGCCTGGCCGAGGGACATCATTGCGCTTACTCCCGCTACCGTAAAACGGGGTGAATAGAATTTGAGGGGTGAATAGATACACGAAAGGCGTGTATAGATATTGGCGAATTTTCATAGTATCTATTCACCCCCCTTTTGTGTCTATTCACAACTCGAATTCTATACATCCCGTTTTACGGTACTAAGTTTATCAGCACATTTCCTCTCCTCTTCGGGAACAATATATATAGTGACATCATCATCATCATCATAATCATTATCCTATCACCCATACCACTGATTCGTCTCCTCTAATGATTTGACCAAAAAGGCCCATTGTAAGCGAGCTGCTTTCGACATTTGCATATGATGTAATCAACTATTTATTCCCATTCATTACACGTGCATTGCATCCTACTCACTTTATATTGTAAAATAATTATTAATTCTGACCTTTCAACGCGATATTTTTAACTGGATTTCAGGCGAAAATAAGCATAATATTTAAGAGCTAGTTTGTGCTACACGTGCAGCTCTCAAGCCGTGTTCATTTGCGTTGTTCCCAGAATTTACAATTTCATAATTATATTTTACAAACAAATACAAGAAACATAAAATTAATTATCGGACACGTGTATTTATTAATAAAATATGTGTATAAAACTACAATTTTCTCTTAAAAAAATTCTTCTTAGCACATTTTTATTGCATACAGAAAATACACGTTATTTTTTTTGAGTTAAAAAATTAATCTATAATATAAAAATGAATCGTGAAATGTTTTGGTAAGCGCATAACTCAATAACGCCTGGACCAATTTTGCCAATTCTTTTTTTGTTGTGTCTGTTATTGTCAGTAGAAGGTTCTTATCAAAGAAAATATAAGAAAAATAGAGGGGAAGATTAGGAAAAAGTGACCCTTTGATAGCGAGATAGTTGAACCCGTGCGAAGCGGGGGCGGGCCGCTAGTTTATTTAAAAAATGTTGTAAAACCTTGGAATTCTTCGTGTTGGGGCAGCGGTCGTAACAGCTAGGTATAAGAACTCCACATTTTACATAAACAACAGGGGTAACAGCACCCTCTGACTAACCTGAACTCTTTAATTATTATTATCAAACCCTGTAGTGCCTACCAACTTTGGAGGTAATAAAGGTAGGAACCAGTTATGTGGGTTAAGGCCGGAGTATACCAGTAGACTGTGGGGTCATAATGATGACGATAGCACTTTTTAATAGCCAATAGAGAAAGCGAGAGAGAGAGAGAAAGAGAGAGAGCGCAACACCAATCGGATTAGGAAGCCTAACTTCAGATGCCCTTTTACCCAAAATAAAATTAAATATGGTTCATCATAAGGTCATCAATTACTTCATTATATACACAATAAGGTCTTAAAAATAATAATAACATTAAAATCACAAAATACGTATTCATTTCACCATCTATATTGTTAATGTTTCTATTGTGTCACATCCCGCGATCCCGCGGTCCCGCCATTTCACGTCGCCTCCCTATTTTTTGCCAGCCTCTTCCATCAACAACTAAGAACAATACTAATGAGCTCCGCTATTTGTCCCCGACCAGTTCGTCATTCTAAATAAGTAGATTATATTTCGTATTTTTTGCCCGTCCATACTCCATACTTACAATATAATTTGTTGTTTTTGCGTGAAACGAAAAACAAAGTAGGTAAAGATCTATAGGTACATTCCCACATGTTTTTATGTTCTTAATATTAGTAGGAAGGACTAGCTTCATGCGTTTACATTACTTCATATTTTGTGTTTATACATAGATATTTTTTTTATGTGATAAGACGGCAAATGAGCGACTGATTAACTGATTGTAAGCAATCGGACACCCGCAACACACGAGTGCGTTGCCGACCTTTTAGGATTAGAGTTAGAGGTTGGGAGGAGAAAAAAAGGATAGATCCTCTGATACTCACTTACAAGGCGAATAACAACGTTGTGGTAGTTTCACGCCGGTTTTTGTGTGAGGCCATGATATCACTCTGGTCGAACCAGCCCATTCGTGCTTAAACATGGCTCTCCCAAACTTAATACCTTTTGAACCTTTGCAGGTGCCGTTCTTCAAGCTCCAATTATCCCGCCACCTATTCAGCAGGGCGCCGTATCATATGAACTGCCATGGCCATTCATTATGCCAGGAAGTAGAATCGTGGGTGGAACAGCAGCTCCTGAAGGTCGCGTACCATACCAGGCGTCTTTGAGAAGCATTCTCAACGCACATTTTTGTGGGGGATCTATTCTGAATAAGAGATGGATTCTGACTGCTGCACATTGTACTGTTGGGTAAGGGATTTCTTTATTTATTTGTCAACTATGGAAGACCTAAAGTGATGATGAACCTGCTACATAATGACAAGTCTTTTCTGATAAATACAGACTTCAAACCGTACAATAAATAATAGGAATTTATGAAAAATAACGTTTTACGTTAATTAACTGACATTACGATATACACAAAAGAAATGAATAAATGTAACGATTTAGGTTTAAGAGCTCTACTACTTTCAAGTCACTCCGGGACTCATAAGCTGCGTACGATGACATTTCGATAGAAGTAATAGAAATTTTTTAACGATTTTTTTTTATTAATCTACGAAGTATTTCTACGAATGCTAATACACCAACAAACGCTATTTCGATACTATTTTTTTCTATATAGTAACCATTACTTCATTTTCAAGCAAAATAAGATCTAAAATAACTCGAAATCGCTACCTACCAAAACAAAAGCACAAACAACTTATTAAAATTATAATCACTTAAGTGACGAACAATGGACCGATTCGCGAAAACAAAGAGGTTCGCAGTTAATTCAATCTTGTACACAAAAGAGGTTCTATATTACATTAAGAGGTATATTGACAAAATAAATGAAGATTTGAGACCAGTTATTAAGATTTAACCAGTTTGTGTGGGAGAGCCATGCTTCGGCACGAATGGGTCGTATCGATCGGAGTGATACCACGGCCTTAAAAAAAATCGGCGTGAAGCAACCAGCGTTATGTTTCACCGTGTAAGTGAGGTTACTTCCTCTCCCGCAATCCCTAAATCAGCCTCCGTGGCCCTCTATTGTTGCGTTGTTGCGGGTGTCCCTGGGTAATGCTGATTGCTTACCATCAGGTAATCCATCTGCTCGTATGTCGCCCTATAACATAAAAAATGTTTGAAAAAGTACTTTAAGATTCTGTTTGGACAAAGTTAGAGGCACAGTCATCTGTAGCCCCTGACCTGACCTTCACTTAATAGGAGGGTTGACCTCAACTTCCACTCTGAGTCGTATCAGACGAGTAAGAGATCGCAGTTGGAAACGTTTGTGTAAGTTGGAGACTAGCTGCAGTCCAGATTGAGATGGACAGCGCTGATTGCTTACCATCAGCTAACGAATCCGTTCACTTGCCGCCTAAAATAAAATAGGAAATGATACATTAATATCGGTATTGCGTGGAATATTGTCAGCTGTAATAAACTTCAGCTGAAGGTAACAGGAAAAAATTTGCAAAATGTTTGTAGTATAACGTGGCTAAAGGCACCTATAATTGCCAATCTATTACTATTCTATATATATAAAGTTATTTCTGTGAAACTTTTATGGCTTCAAACTTATTTATCAAATGTCTTTATTAAAGGTATATATGTATATTTTGCTTTATATCTTATTTCGTAAACCTCCACGTAGATCATCGGCTACTTACGGCAGCGGAGGATTTGCCATCAATTGTTTTTCTGACGGCTGTCACAGGCCTAATAGTTACACTTCGATCTGATTTTAATATTATAATGTTTCATTCGGTTACGTCTAAACGGAGTATTTTTAGTTTAAGAGCTTACATACAGCGCTTTTTTAGTGTTCACAAAAAATCTAGTGCCAAAATTCCTCGAAACTACTACGTCGATTTTTATTAAAAAGTGTTGCTCATGGTAAATAATATATGGTCTAAAAATTTATTACAGTACTTTATCAAAAAAAGTTTAGAGAAACAGACAATTTTAAATATCCATGCTAAAATACAATGGCTACTTACTGTTTGATAAAGGGGTATTTCGAAAATCTATCTACTTAATTAAGTTTTTACCACTTTGATTTTTTCCGAGTTATATGTACTTTCGATGATTATTTAGACACTACTGACATACGCTGAAACAAAACATCATGAGGAAACCTGCTCAAACCTTCTCCGTGTGAGAAGAGGCATTTGCTCAGCAGTATCCACTTATAGGCTGATGATGTGGCGTGAAAGATTTTAGACCGTTTCATTAAAATTTATTCAGGAGTTAATGTATTTTTGACTTAAAAGTTTATACGAAAACTCACCCGTCCTAAACACTCTAAAACTTATAAAAATAACCATTCTATTGTATAACGTTTACACTTTCGTTACAGTCAATCAAAATATTCGATGATAGTTGTAGTGGGTACAACGAACCGGCTTATTGGAGGAGACACATATTCGGTAGACAAAATCGCTATCCATGAGAAATATGACAGTACCGAAATTAAGAATGATGTCAGCGTCATCAAGGTCAGCAGGGACATCAAGTTTAATGATGTGGTGCAGCCTATCGCCCTTCCGGATGAAGATACAGGAGCTGGAGTAGATCTATTCCTCAGTGGCTGGGGAAGACTCTCTGTAAGTAAAGTTGTTTCAAATTTCATTTTTTTTTTTCTAAAAGAGATTTTTGTGATACTTCTTTTCTTTGTTCTTGGTGATGTCAATATGCCAAAGTGTGTTGAAAAATGTGTATATTGATGATTAAACATTGCACACTTGTACTAAAATGTAGGTACTATTTCTACCTTCTTTCTGAAAAGTGGTTGCAGTGGTTGTGTTGCTTAGATTCTTCTCTATTACCGGCGAAAATAATGTTATACTGAAACTAAAACTATTTAGTAGATATAAGTAAAAAAAAGAACGGGGGCGTTCTCCCTTCTCTCCACTTCTCCCGCCCTATCATGGGCGGAAGAAGTCATTGATACAGACAGGATGAGTATAGTATGTTTTTTTTGGAGGGGCCCAAAAAACAACATACTTTTGAGAACAAATTCGTAATCAAAGAATAGTTTAAAATATGGCACTAATTAAGTATGTTACTGTGTTTCTTAAGCATTTTAACCTCCCATTAAGCAAGTATCGCGACCCCTTGACATACAAGGCAAGCAAAAAATAAAATAAAATTACGCATTACAATCATGAGAGGTACTTCCACATTCCTTGCCACTTTGCCTTGTCACTTCAATCCTAAGTGTAGTCACAATAAAAACGCCTTCAAGAGTTTCACAGGAAAAGGGAAATGCAAACATCAACGTCTCGTAAAAAGATTTTCAATTTCGAACTTCAAATGTCAAATGGGAAATGGAACGTTTCCCGTTTATTTCCCGGTTTAAATTGTTGATGGGAATTTATCTTTTAACTGTACATACATAACAATTACTTTAGCATGCACTTCAGAGAATCTTTTAAGACGTAAGTGTAGGCAAGTTTGTTCTTTAGTTTCAGTGTATTTATTAGTGTTGTAATGTATTGTGTCGAAGTCTCTAAGTTTGGTATAGGTTACTGATACTATTCCTTAGTAACGATTTTATTCCGATAACAATCACTAAAGACTGGATTAAGTATTATATGCGCGCGCCTTAAAAGGCCATTAGACCACCACTGTTGGTGTTCAAAAGAAGCGATATTCAGCCGGAATTGTGGGGTAATATGCCGCGGCCCCGACCTGGTGCAGGACAAAGAAAAGGGTCGTCTTTAGTCAGTAAGAGTCTGACACTCCCTGAAGACATTCGAGAATTTTCCCCCTCAAAAAAAAAACATTATTTGAATCTGAGAACGGCAGTAAGAAGGTAGTTTGTATTCTTAGTTGTGCCCAATATACATATAATTTGGATTTTTCGCGTAATATATTGTATGGGGTTTCATTTGTAATAAATGTACATGTACTCTAGATGTATTTCAGCGAATAAAAATTAAATACAATCAGAGAACACTCAACTTCTAAAAATGAATACAATTTTTAATATTCTACGAAGTCTAGTTAAGACTTAAATGATGATGATAATATTTAATGGTGACAAATTAGTTTTTTTTGGAGAAACGTTTATTGGCTTTTATCATTCCTTTGTAATTATTATTTTAAAATAAAATTACGAAGTACTATTTTACCGATAAGCTCATCAAATCTTTGACAAAACGTATTTTACCTGAAAAAAATATGCGGCCATCTTGTTTTGAAAACATTGCGTAGTTACAGAGAAACGTGAAAGTTGACCCTCTGCACTATTATTATTCCCCGCACATTCGTAGGGCTGTCTAATTGTGTCATTAGTGCTTCGTGGAAACCCTTATCTCGATAGGGCTGATAAGTAATATAATAGTAACGTGGAAAATTAATATCTTATAGTAAACAACACCAATCTATTCTCCAAATAAAAACGTGAAGTCTGAATTTGACACAACAAAGTGTAAAACACGATTAAAGAAAAGATAATGATGCTTCAAGCATCATTAAAAGATCGCCGAAGTTTTACAATCCGAACCACTAAGGATTGGAATTCTTTGCCGGTGTCTGTGTTCCTCGAAGGGTTTAACCCTAGTGTCTTCTAGGCCTAAGTGAAAAGGTCGCTTATGGGTAGGCATGCTCCATTGTAGTTCATATCGTCGCCTACCACCAGGCGAGGTAGTGACCAAATGCCTGGCCATTACGAAAAAAAAAATCTATATTTCATACCTACTTCATTTTTATTAACAAGAAAAAAAAAGGTTTGATATACCATCACCGTACTGGCAGCTTTAAGAAGAAGCGTCGAAACGAGGCTCATAAACACGAAAAACTTTCCGTAGGTACATACATAAAATATTAGCAAAACATCACAAGTTTTATCGTTCGACAACCCTGTTCACTATAACAAGTTACAACATTTTCCGGGGACTGTACCATTACATTACAGCGGCACTTCGGTTTATGTGTTTTGTTACTTCATTGAGTACTTTGTTGTACCTAAGTGTACCTTGAGTTACTTGACTTTAAGTCATATGTCCCCTAGATGGGGCTTAGGGTATCCACATAAGTCCTACATCTTGATCTGTCGTGAGCTTGACGAAATATTAATATCTTGGCATTTTCTCCGTTTCTGCCATCAAAGCGTGACTCCATGTTTGGTAAGGATGGCCACGCTTCTTTTATCCTGAGTATCCCAGTCCAAGGCTTTCCTAGCTTACCCTTTCCCATTTGCGGTGCTTGACTTGACAGCCGATCAAATTTTCGCGGCATATCTTCTATAGCTGTCCCTTGGAGATGTTTTCAGGCTAGCAGTAACCAAGAATGCGACGTAAGCATGATTTAATGAAAACTTGGATGTCGGGTGGTCTCACTCGTGGTCTTTAATGGGCACCTATTGTGTACCTAGTAGCTTAGCTACATATTGTATCTAAGGAAAGATTTCTTCAAAGGATATTAAATCAACATTTAGACATATTTTCATAAAGTTAACAAAAAATAGTGGTCGGAATTTAAGGGCACTCGTGCTCGAGGTTGGGAGTTCGAAACCTGACAAGTGCCATGGTGTCTTTCCGAATTATATGAACTTTCTAAGTTCATTTGACACCAATGACAAACGATGAATTAAATCGCTGAAATCGTCAAACCGCCTTGAGCAAATAAGATGTTTAATGCTTAAATCTTCTCCGTGTGAGAAGAGACCTTTGTTCAGCAGTAACTACTTTTACTGACTTTATAGGTAACGCTTTGAGTAAGATTCAAATACAAATTTAGGAATAGAAAAAAAATCTCCTAAGTATTATAGTTACAAACTGACTATTACAGTAAACGAAATACGGCCCTGTTCACCATAATATAATTTTCCTGCAATGAATACAGCATATGTACGTGTTTTGAAAGTTCGTGGGCGTTCTTCCTCGAATGTTGATTACAGTCATGGTTTTCATACTAACTGTATCACAGAACTAACTTTGTTCGCGAAATTACACCTTCTTTTGACGTATTTCCTACACTTTGCACTAATTATGCAATTGAATATTAGTTCATAGTATGAGGCTGCAGGAGTCAAGAGTTAGAAGCCTTAATAATAACATGAGTACTTGCTCAGTCTTTGATGTGTACAAAGAGAATTAATTAAACTGCTTCTCACATAAAGGTTTTGTTTACAGTCTCTAGATTAAGAGTCAAACTTGTTACTAACAAAGTAGAGTTCATTTTGTAATGTAAATAAAAATAATTGAAATTTGTTCTTCAAATTGAGAAAATAGTTTTGATTTTCCTACAATACTGCATGGTATAGATACGGGATTTCACGGTTGGTTCGTTGGCTGGACTTCCGACTGCCGTGCCTTGTCTCAGGTTGGCTTCGCTCTCTATGATCCACAAATTGTTGTTCCCAGGCTTCGTGTCATGGGTGTAGGAGACAATATTTTTGTAAATGCACCCATGACGCAAAAGAAAATCCTGGTTTGTAACAAAAACATATCAAATTCACTCTCATTTCAGTATCCTGGCTCGCTGCCCGTTCAGCTGCAGATGATCAACCTGACTTCCTTGAGTGTAAAGCAATGCCAGAATGTCTACCAGAATATCAATCCGGTCTTCAGTTCACAGATCTGTTCCCTCACCAAATCCGGAGAAGGAGCTTGTCACGTAAGTACCTACAATTCAAATTATTTTACAATTGGAAGAATATTAAACCTTTTAATCGACGTAATTCGAGACACAATAGTTAGACAATACGTGCGAAAACGCCGGCGTTCGCTTAAGGTTTGATGAATTTGTGTTTAAAATATCTATAACTAGCTTCCTGCGCGACTATCTGCCAAACTTAATTGATTATAGGTATCCTTCCCCGAGAATCATTTTATCTATTTCCATCATACTTACCTATTTATTTCCATTCAAAACAAAATATTTCTTTATGCGTAGATCGGTCGAAATTTGATCGAAATACAACTGTCATACCAATATTAACGCAGCTGTTTGAGTTCGCAAATGTTATTATGGGGTGTTATCTCAAACATGATTTATGTTGGGTTCCGCCCCGCCTCGCATGTTAACACAATATTTCGAATTACGTCCTTATTGAGCGTGTTTTGATTTATTGTAAATTGCTATTTAATTTACATCGTGACAAATAAATTGTAGAAATAAGGCAACTTTTTTCAAAACAAGGGAAATGATTAATACATTTACCTTGATTTGAAAAAAGTTGCCTGATTTTTACAGACAGTATGAAATTATCTTATTCTTAGATTTTTTTATGGTGTAAGTCGGCAAACGAGCAGACGGATTACCTGATGGTAAGCAATCGGCGCCGCCCATGGACCCCCGCAACACCAAAGGAGTTACGAGTGCGTTGCCGGCCTTTTTGGGATAGGGGTTGCGGATATAAGGATCGGGAAGGGTTAGGGGAAGGGGCGGGATTGAGCCTCCGGTAACCTCACTCACACGGCGAAACACAACGTTGTGGTTGTTTCACGCCGGTATTCTGTGAGGCCGTGGTATCACTCCGGTCGAGCCGACCCATTCGTACCGAAGCTTGGCTCTCCCACTCTACATAGTAAAGAGATAATTAAATAATGATTGGCAGTATGACATTGTCGTTTCTCTAACTTATAATTGTATTTTCTAAGTTTATTTATTTACTAATTAGATACCTATCCCTAATAAAAACATTGTGAGGAAATTTGGACTTGGAATTTCTAATCGCAAGTTTGAAATCACCAATCGGCTTCGAGCAAGCGTGGGGAAAAGACTATTGCACAGACTTATTACGGACGTATTGATACGAGTAGATTAATGATGTCATGTAATGTCTTCATTTATTGAAATATACGGCTCAGTCACGCGTACAGTATTAATGAAATATAAATATACGGCTCAGTCTGGAGAACAGTAATTTTAGATAAGTTTTAATAGCTGCGGGACACGCCGGAACTCGTAAAGATCTAGCAAGCTAGTTGATCTTATCTTTAATAGTTCACGTGACTATGCCCTATACAAAACAAAGTTTTACAAGACTCTCGATTATTGTTTTAAAATAATTATTTCCTTCATATTTCCAGGGTGACTCTGGTGGTCCACTAGTAGCCGACAGCAAGGTGGTCGGCATCGTTTCGTGGGGCATGCCCTGTGCCCGCGGCTACCCAGACGTTTACACCAGAGTGTACTCATTCCTGGACTGGATTAAACCAAAGATTACCTTGGAAGAAACAGTCCAGGCCTAAGTACGTGTTGAAAAGGATTGTGATATAATTATCTTTACGTCCTTTTCTAATGTTTATGTACTTGATTTTTTTTCTATTGATATTGTGAAAAATAATGTTTTTATACTCGAATGTATTAACGAATTATTAATAAATAATATTAATAAATAATATAGTAGTACTTATTATTACATTCTTACCTAACTTTAATATGCTGTAGAATAAAAGCCTTAAAAGAAGTATTGTTTCAAATGCAAACAAACATCAGTCTTAACGGCTAACTTTAAGGCTTAATTTTAAATTTACAAATAATCATTTACAAAATAGGTTCCAGTACCTACAAGTCCAAGGTCCGATGAATCCTTTATTGAATTTTATAGGAGGAATACAAATAGTTAAGTGCCCGTTACAGATTTGAACACTGAACATAATAAAATATACAATATGCATCATGTGCAATAACGTTTATCAGAAACTTAATGATGATGAAACTTCGCCTTAACACTTTCACCGTTAGCCGAAGTTGCAGGGCAAGCGCAATAAGGTCCGGCCTCGGCCTGGAGGAGGAGGAGGCCTTTCTTTAGTAAAACTCTAACACTTCCTCTGGCCTCACCCTGGGCGATATTGGTATTTGATGATTTTCACATCACATAAAAACGCTTGCACTGTTTATGAAGTAGCTATAACAGGTAAATAAGAGCCATGGGTAGTGTATACGTAATACATCGGACAAAGCAATAGTTAACGTATAAAGAGATTATTTCAAACTAGAATCCATTAAACTAGATCGCCTACCACGAATCTCTACAACGGAACACAGGGTAATAACTTTCTATAAACGCTGTTAACTTCCACGTGTCTCCCTGGAAATAATATTTAACTATAATATAACATCTTATATAAACATGCCACGTGGAACATACGCGTGTACTACCAGTGTAATGGGTAACTTAATTAATTAATTGATATATAAATGGCATCAATATTACGTAGATACTGTGCATACACACATTCCTACAAGTACCTTCAACCAAGGCTGGCCTCGGGGTGGTACGAGCAGTGCGCCCGCATCGGGTGCTATCACGATTGGGATGCCAAAACGAACCAAACTACGGGACTAAACAAAAAACAACTTACTAGTCATTTATTTATTAAGGCGCTTTTTAAAAACCTTTATCTCAGTCTAGGATTCCCTCCTAAACTGTGGGTGCGATTACAATCATAAACTGCGTATATACATAACTCCCAGGCCCGAAACAACAGTTTCACGTGGATCACACAAACAGTTGCCCAGTGCAGGAACCGCGCCCTAGCTTTCGGTTTTGCGGGAATTGGTTCCTCACAAAACCAAAAAAAAAAATAAGGACCACCATTGGTTCCATCGTTTTTTATAAGTACCGTACCTTGCCCATTTTTCTTTATTTTTCTTTTCTGTCCTAGATCATCATGGTCATCAACTACATCAGCAGTCCATTTCTATCCACTATTGACCTAAAGGTTTTTTATTCCATTCCCGGATTACCAAATAACCGTGCTAAATAAATATGAACCCACTGATAGCACAAGAGATTAATTGTTCTGGACCTTGTACCCAAAATCAGTTAATGTTTTGTACCCTTGCATCGCGAATTATTGCTACCCATGATTGAACTAAGTTAATTTATATTGAAGGCAGATAAGCCAGATGAAATATTTCTCAATTATCTCTGAATAACTCAGGAATCATAAGACACAATAGGATTTACTTCGGTAAAATCCTACGAGTATGTGGCCCTGTCCGTGTAACTCATCTGCATATACTAATATAATATAATAAATATATCTTTGTATCCAAGACCCCTTTATTTGTGAGGGGAAAATCATCAAATGACTTCACTCGGCAGAGAAGGGAGTGTTAGACTCTCACTGACTTTGAACCCCCCAGTTTCCTTTTCCTGCTCCAAGATTAGGCGGCTGTTACTCGGCAGTCACGTCACTGACCAACAAGGCCGCAAAAACAAACCATCAACATCCTACATAGTTGGGTAATTCGGTCACCATCTGGGATGAGAAATCATTGGATAATTCATATCCATTGTACAGACACCTGCCCTTCAAAATTCAGGCGTCCTAACTTAAAATATAATTAATTTAACTTCATAATAAAGTGAAGTATCCATTACCTGGCCTAAAACAATAGTAACTCGTCCCAAGTTTAAAGGATTGTATAGTCAGCAGTGTAAATCGGTGTGCCTACAAACAATATTTACCTTTATACTATGTACAAATAAAGTAGCAAGTCCCGTGTTTGCTTAGTCAGGGTCCATGTTCATGAATGTTTTCGGTTATGATGTAGATAGGGAATGGACATTAAAATATGTACTGTCATTTTTATTGTGAGAACAATGATGGTGAAGTTTTCCTTTTGTGATTGTTTTTATTGTATTTATGTTAAACATTATCGTGTATCTGAAATAATTCTCCTATAGAAGTATGCAGAAAGAAATTCCAATATAAATATTTCATTATGTATCCTTTATTTTTATGTAGATACTTAAATATGTTTCATTAATTAAATACTGAATAAACATGAGTGATTTTTTCCGAATTATACATAAGTATGTACTTTCTATAATTATTTTGACATAAAACGTTTGAAATCGTCAATTCAACTTGAGCAAGCGTGGTGATTAAGCTCAAACCTTCTCCGTGTGCAAAGAGGCCTTTGCTCAGTATTGGACACTTATATGATGATGATGATGTGATGTGATGATTTAATTAATAAATGTATTTGTAATGATAAACCTTCTAACAGTTTCTATTATGTTCTACTCATACGTCGTTTGCTTTAAATGTATCCATTGTATGAGGTGTGAGCAAAGTTTTTACTCTATTCAACGAAACCTGGCACGTTTCAATATTAAATTTAGTTTTCGCAAAAGTTTCTCCACCGTGAATTTTCTAATATGAAAATACGTACGTTAAAACTTCCTTAAAAGAGAGAACTATTTCAGTTCGTTTTGAAAATCATCTATTTCTACTATGATTTATGGAACTAAGATAAAATGCACAAAAAATGCACTTTTTAGTTTACTATTTTTAACGGGAAATGACTATGAAAAATAATGATAACCAGGGAAGGCAAGGCAACGACAAAAATAACTAGTCACATATAGATTGAACTAAAAGGCGATCACCTAGCGAAGAAAGGACCAAACAATTTTGATTAAAAATAATAAAATTGGAATAAACTACCAAATTTTAAACAGTCGAAGACAATGAAAAACAATTTTTAAAATAAAACAGAATTCTGAAATCTCCGTTGTTTATGATCGATCGTAGCATAGAGGTCCGTTTGATCTATCATAAGTGTGTTTACAACAATCAATCATCTGTGGCAAATATAGAGTCCAGTTGTTTATGGTCGGTGGTGATAGATCGCAGTATTACGGGAACCTGATGTGTATGTAGGACATAAGTGTAGTAAATATTACCTGTTAATATCTAAAGGAGTTGTTGATCAACAAGTTTTGTGGAACATCATTCATCATATCTTGGTAAACATTTTCATAAACTTAGATATTATTTATGGCTTTTGTTTCTAACCTCGATCATTGATGAAGTATTGTTTCGTGTGTTTCTCGGAGGAGTACATAGGGATAGTGTTCTGCTGCCATATTTTCTGAACTTGACTTTGAGTCAGTTTGTTTTTATAAAAGACTAGCTTTTGCCCGCGACTCCTTTCACGTGGAATAGTGACTTTCTGCAGATTTTTGGTATAAAAACTATCCTATGTCCTTTCTCGAGTTTCAAACTATGTCTGTACTAAATTTCACAGAAATCGTTTCAGTATTTTAGGCGTAAATAAAAGACAAACAGACAGACAGATAGACAGAGTTACTTTCGCATTTATAATATTAGTTTGGACTAGCGACCCGCCCCGGCTTCGCACTGGTGCATTGATAATACAAAATTTATCCACTATTCAATTATTTTGTTACACATTATAAAAAACCTTCCTCAGCTTTCTCTTTAATCATGCCATCTATTGAAATAAAAAATGCATCAAAATCCGTTGCGTAATTTTTAAGAATTATGAATATATAAGGACAGAAATAGACTTTTATTGTTAAGAAAACTCTTTTAGCCGAATAAGGGTATACTCATTAAATCGAGAACTGTATATTTTCCATCAGAACCACAATTATAATTATAATATTAATATTTTAATTATTAATATTGGCATTCTGATAAATTGAGTTTTGTTATAATAATGAGGCAATCATTACGTCCGATAAATAAATAAAAAAATTCGCGCCAAATCAAAAAGTCACAAAATGGCGGCGCATCGTTTTAAACTTACAAGCGTAGAGGCATGAGGGCATTCATCTTCATAATTCCAAGAAGTCTCAACTGTCAGCAGCTCTCGGTTCGAGAACTTTCTCTAGTTTTCTTTAAGCATATACACATATATATGTATGTATATATCCCCAGTTTTGTGACCAAGCGAACTGTGAAAATACGCGAGACGCTCGAAAATAATGATGCTGACATATAAGTAGGTATGGGATTGTTTTCTAAAGTGCGACGAAGTTTTGTTCTAACAATTTGCGCATTATTTTTCGAGAATGTTGTGTACGTTAGCTGTGCAATAAGTGTTTGCAAACGTAAAAGAGTTTTCCTTAAGTTTCCTAAACATAATATTATTTTCTTATTCTTTATAATTGTGTAATAGATTAAATAAAATATATGTTTTTTTCATATCACGCAATGAGAATACATATACTATTTAATTAGGTTGTAAAACTTTTTTTTTAATTTCTAAACAAATATAATGTTGCAATAAGCACTGGAAGAAATTATTAGTAGTTTGTAAGCGGTAAACTTATAAATATTATGGTATAATAATAGGGTATTAATAATAAAAAAACGAATTTTAGTAATAAAAATACTCCATTGAATTATCTCAGAAGGGCCACAAATTTTAGTTTTATATAAAAATACTTTTTTTACCTTATATTAGAGTATCCTGTGATCCCTGC